AAAAAAAAAAAAAAAAAAAGCATGCTGCGCGTATATTACATATAATATCATGAACACGGCTAACAAGCTATTTGACGGCACAGGATGATGCAGGATTTCCTCCTGCAGCTATCGCATGTTGACTTGCACCGTTGAAAGGCTGGCCTGCTGCTTGAGCGTGGTGCGCGCCGCACTCAATGACTGCTCGCCAGCTGGATGAAATCTTGTCGTCTGACTCTGCTGAAGATACTTCTGCTGCTAAGAGAGCAGCTACGGAGGGCTTTCTAGAGTGCGGAAGAGAGGCAAGCTAACAACCATCCCTTCAGCCCTGCATTCTTTCTGCATATATAATCATTTTGCACAGACTGAGGCTTTGAGCAAGAGTTCCCAAATTGAAGCGAGTTCGGAGAATCGGGCATGTCACCGACAACACAGCACGTAACTAGCGCTTCCTGTCAAGATCGTACGTAGTATCTATAAAATACTTACTCTATACTTACCCTTTCATCGTATATCATCCCTATACTACCCCAATACTACTCACAACTTGATTTAAGTTACCATATTGGGGAAACCATATTAATTGCTCTATATATATATACCCATTCTGGTGACTTAATTTAAGTTCCTTAACAGCAACCCAGCATGGATTGGACAGACGTCGTGATGCCTTGGCAACCCAGACGCGCTAAAGGATCCAAAAAATGGAACCCCCAACAATCCCCTAGTTTCCCCACTGTAGTAATGGGAGTCATTTTGGGGGGATCCATTTTTTTGGATCCTTTAGAGGGTCCGGCAGGCTGGAGCTTTTTCAATTTGGAGATGCTCCTGGGCATGAGGCCCGCTGATGATCACGTTGTCCACAACCTTGACAGGCAGTGCTCAACCAGGAAGAGTACTAGTAGCAATAGTAGGTTTAGGGCTTAGGACTTAAGGTTTAGTGTAGTAGTAGTAATGGCAACAAGCAATAATATGAGTAGTTATAGTAGTAGTAGCACTGGTACTAGCAATAAAAATCATAACAGCAGTAATCAGAACAGCATGATGCTAGCAATAGTAATAGCTAATGTAATAGTAATAGTAATAATAATAATAATAGCAATAATGATAGTAATAGTAACAGTAGTAGTTAGTAACGGTAATAGCAAGAATAATACTGACAATCATAACCGTAGTAATCTTTTAACCCTAAACCCCTAAACCCTAAACCCCTAAACCCTAAACCCCTAAACCCTAAAGCCCTAAACCCTAATACGCCTCAGCTGATTCGGAGGAGAGAGACCAGGGCCGGCACACTCAGAAGGAAGGCGCAGCCTCCCAGACCAAACCTTTGGTGACTGCTGTTAAGAAGCTTGTATGGGCCCCTAATATGGGCCCTTAGGCTTTTAGGGGGATTCTAGATTCCCTTAAGGGTACATGTAGGGTATATAGCTCATTTTGGATAGTACTAGTAATAGTTATAGTAGTGGTAATGGTAATAGTAATAGTAATAGTAATGGTAATATGCCGTTAAGGAACTTGAATTAACTTACTATAATGAGTATACATATAGTAAGTAAGATGGCTTCCCCGAAATAATAACTTGAATTACATTACCATTTAAGCTACCGTAATGGATGTATAAAGTAATTCATATGGCTTTCTCAATATAGTAACTTAAATTAAATTGCTTAACAGCAACCCAGCAATCTTCTGATCACTTCATGTTGCATGGATTGGAAGAGGCTGGGAAATCGCAGGGTGTCTAAGCCAGAACCCTTAAATCCTAAACCCTAAAGCCTCAATCCTAAACCCTAAACCCTACACCCTAAAACCTACAGCCTGTCTCAGGCGCGTGCTCGAGCTCTACGTCTTCCAAGGCGAAGCGTACAGAAACTTGATCGTCCTGACAAGCCGCATGGCTTCCCTTTTTTGTGGTTTAGGGTTTAGGGATCTCGGCTTTAGGGATCAGGGTTTAGGGATATGACCATTATTACCTCCAAGGGTTCAGGGATTAGGGTTTAGGGATATCATTATGGTAGGGATTATATACGTTATGTTGGGATTATATGGTCACATGGGGATGATATAGGGCTTAGGGGAATATTACCCCCACAGTAATGGAAAATCAATGGAACAGCAAATGGAACGTGAAATGGAAATTGAGACTACTCAGCCCTAAACCCTTGGGCGGGGGGGGGGGTTGGGAATAATGATAACGCTAAATATCCCTAAACCCTAAACCCCTATATATATATATCCCGATATATCCCTATATATGTATATATGTATAAATAGTACTTATATATTCCTATATAACCCTATATAACCCTATATAACCCTATATAACCCAATATAACCCTATATATCCCCATATAACCCTACATATCCCTATATATCCCTATATAGCGCTATATAGCGCTATATATCCCTATATATCCCAATAGAACCCTGTATGACGCTATACATCCCTATATATCCCCATACAACCCTATATAACCCTTACATATCCCTATATATCCCTATAGAACCCTGCATATCCCCATAGAACCGAAACTCTGCAGGCTGAGTTTCTGCCTGCAGCTGGACCTGGAGGCCATCCAGGATCTGCACCTCGCAGAAGTTTGTCTTGGGTACTGCCCCCACCCAGTAACAAAGTTTAGGGTTTAAGGGTTTTAGGGTTTAGGGTTTTAGGGTTTTGGGATTTAGGGTTTCAGGGTTAGGCCCCAGCCAGTAACAGTCTGTATTAGGGGTCCTCTGAAGGGCTATATATAACCATATTTTAATTATTATCCAATTGTTACTGAGTGGGGGCAGTATCCAAGGTTTGTCATACTTAGAGGGTTAGGGGGACTTAGTAAGTAGGTTCGGGTTCAGGGTTTAGGGTTTATAGGGTTTAGGGTTTAGGGTTTATAGGCTTTAGGGTTCAGGGTCAGGGGGACTTGGTAAGTAGGTTAATGATGGGGATAACTAGGGGTACTATATGGGTTATCTGGGTTACTGACCTACTTACTAAGTCCCCCTGACCTTCCAAGTAGGTGCTTTGCAACTGCCAGCAACTGCCCTAACCCCACGATATCCAGCAATGGAACTTACCCTATATAACCCTACATATCCCTATATATAACCCTATATAACCCCTTACAATCTTATATAACTCTATGGGCATCGAGCCTCCTCCGGCGGTGCTGTCATCGCCCACTTCAGAGGGCCCCAGACCTTCCAGAAGCACAGGAGCGAACGGGCTGCATAAGATTCGTCATCTGTGCTGCTGGCACCGTCTTTGAGGAAGCTCAGCTGAGAGGGCTTCCTGGCAAAGGCAACAGCTTGGGCACCATTCTGAACCCTAAACCGTAAACCCCTAAACCCCTAAACCCTAAACCCATTGTGAACCCTAAACCCTAAACCCTAAACCCTAAAACCCTAAAACCCTCAACCCTAACCCCTAAACCCATTCTGAAGAACTGAAGCTGAAGGACCTGCGCTTGTGCCAGTCGGGTTGCTGCCTTGGCTTGCGCTGATCGTTAGTGCAGAAGTCTATCTCATGAAACATAGTGATATGGTTGATCCCAGAACCTATACGGGTTATATAAGGTTTTTTATAGTATATTGGGGTTTTATAGGGATAGTGGAAAGAAAATGGAAACTACTTCAGGGGTTATATAGGGGTATACTATTTTTTGGTTGCCCGCAACTTTCTTGGCCTCTCCGGTAGGTTTGAGTTCTGCTTTGACATGAGAATGATTAGATATCTCATCTGCTGCACATTCAGGCACTGAGCACGTTCATTGCATGAGGAATTTGGATCCAAGAACCTATATGGGTTATACAGGGGTATATTATATTGGGCCTATATTTAGGGATAATGGAAAAGAAAATGGAAACTACTATAGGGGTTAAGGACATGACGCAACCAGCTTCACGCCAGCTTCGGCAGCGCGGAGAAGCCCCTTCGCTCTCACCTTGTGGGCCCATGAGACGATGCTGCTCAAAAGGATTTAACAGGCTTGAAACGGTGTCTGACAGCCCTGATTCTTGTTTCTCCAGATGTTCTGGGCAGCACAGAACACATGCGAAAAGCTATCTGGGAGACAGCTTCACACTGCAGCTGGCGGAGAGGATTGATGATCCTAGCAGCTGCCGCCAAGGGCAAGGGCAGCTCCCGTTTCATTCATCTTTGGCTACCTGCTTGTTCCGCTTGTCCACACCAATGAACTGAATGATCAATGTGGCGTTGAAAGAGGCATTGAAGATAAGCGATCTCAGTCCGGCACATTCCGCCCCTCCGTAAAGCTTCGAGGCTGTGATGCACAACAGGCAGAAGCTCGTGGCGAATTGCACAATCTGCAGTTTGGTGATCCATCGCTTCCACGGCGTCGGGCGCTTCAGGATCTTCATAGCATAATAGTGGTACATGACTACGTGGACGAACCTTGGCTTCTGCATGCATAGCAATCTGAGCAAGCTGCTCCATGAGTCAACTCTTCCAAACAAAAACCGTCTGCTTTCTCAGAAGTTTGCTATAGGGTAATCCCCTGCCGCTAAAATCAAACCCGCATGTCCCAATGTTTAATATTCCGCCTAATATATGTAGCAATGTTCATACACAGGGAACCCAAACCTTATCATGCGGACCCCCGAGAAGAGGCCCACAATTTTCCCTCATTTTGGGAAACCTAACCCCTATAAACCACTATATACACCCCGTTTCCATTCAGTCTTCCATGTTCTTGCCCGTTTCATTCTCCATTCTCAGGGGCTACATCCCCTAACCCTATTCAATCTCTATATAAACCCTAGGTGACCCCTATACAAACCCCATATAATCCCATACCCTATATGGTAGAGCTAAGGGGCCCTCAACAGAGACCCAAAAACACTGTAATCCTATATAGCAACCCCAAAAAGAGAATCACTAATTTTGGGAAACCCCTATCTTGGAGAAGCTGACATTGACCCTAAACCCTAAACCCCAAAAACCTAAACCCCTAAACCCTATACCCTAAACCCCTAAAACCTATATAAGTCCAGAAGACGTGTTGAAAAGTAGGCCGCCCCACTGAAGCGATTGCTGGTATTGACACCAAAGCCAAGCCATAGGCACCTGTTACTTCGGGTTTAGGGTTTAGGGTTTAGGGTTTAGGGACAGTTGACCCCCCTTTGTTGGGTTTAGTGTTTAGGGTTATAAGGCCTTAGGGATATCGATGCTCCCCTAGCGTTACTATTAACGATATCCCCTGGTATAGGCTTAGGGCTTAGGTTAGACATATGGTTAAGTTTGTAGAAAACAATATAACCCCTGTAGTTTCTGAAGCAGCTAAGATTAATTGGACTTCTACATAGTTGAGGAGTTGTGTAGCGTGCCCGCCAAGGCACCACAGCCGCATGATGATATACTTGCAGCTTGAAGTGCGGTACCCTGCTTTTCTGCAATAGCACCAAAACCGTATCGAACATCTCGTAATACTTGCTCAGGTAGTAGACATATGACCAGAAAAACAATGGGCCAGAGGTTTGCGTAGCAGGCGCTTCGCAGAAAAACCAGTCAAAGCTCTCAGAAGCGGACCAGCGTCTGTGCAGTTCCAGTAACGTGCCGAGTAGCATGACTAGAGAGCCCAAGGACAGGAGTAGATTGTGCACCACGGCAGTTGAGCCGAGCTCAAAAGGCTTGGCATTCTTCATCCCAATGCTCAACAGCAGCACGACCACTAGATAGATGGCCACTCCGCCAGCCGGCCATTGCCAGCCCGATGCGAACGCATCATCCCAGCGAAACGTCTCATATGGAATCCCCTGCATGACGCTGGGGAACACTTCCACTCAGGAGCCCACGTCTGCAAAATTGCGCTGAAGATCATGCAACCGGCTGGCAAACATTTAACTGCTGAGCGAACCTTCCGAAACACTCGTCAGGCAGGCTTTGGATTAGCATGTAACAGAAACATAGAACACAAGGTAGGTGCCTGGCCCAGAGAACTACCACGACGGGATGTGTGCGCCATGCCTCTGTTACACAGTCATGACCTCACGCCCTGAAAACTAAGCGCATGGCGGAGACGTAATAGAGACAAGCATGGAAAGGAGCGGCATCAATGTGGTGAAGCAGGTGATTCGACCAATCCACGAGAGCGGCCGAGGTCCCTGCCCACATAGGGATGCTGTCCCGATGAAGGTTGAACCCCACCTGCCTCAGAGACGCGCACGGATGTGCACGACAAAGCATGCGACCAACAGCTGTGCAGGCAAAGACTACGGGAGCCAGTTTGATTGTCTTTCCAGACTGAGAACCATCAAGCGTACCTGCAGTCATTTATCCTGGGCAGTTGAGTGTTCAGGTCCCAACCTATGTGCAGGGAGGCACAATGGCACTACCCGGGATAGCACAATGAGATACACACACAGAAAGGCAGAAACTCGAAAGAACATCTCTACCGTCAAGCTAACCCTACATACTCCCTGTATAACCCTATATAAGCCCTATAACCCTATACTATAATAGTTTCCATTTTCTTTTCCATTATCCCACTATTATCCCCTTTATACCCAAAAGGGGGTATCCCCAAACCTCAGCGTCCTGGACCCTTCAGCGCGTGTCTCCTTCAAAAGTTTGCCTGCAAACCGTGCCAAAGAAAAAGCGAAACCCAAACCCTAAACTCTGATCACAAACAGAGTAGCAATAACAAAAGAGATAGTAGATAACACGAAGCAGACTGCCTCCACAAGCGCTGCTTTACCTCCAGCAGACTGTGCAGACAGCTAGCACATGTTGGCACAGCCAGTTGCAAGAGTATCATGACAAGCCATTTCTACACAACCCCGTGGTGCCTGAGATCTCAAAGTATCCGGCAGCTGCATACACGTCATGCCTCACAGATGCTCTGACGTCAGGTAGTCCAATTCAACCAGTGCCAGTTTTCATGATGCCCGGCCTAAGCCCTAAACCCTAATCCCTAAATCCCAATCCCTCAACCCTAATCCCTAAACCCTAATCCCTAAACCCTAAACGCCCCAAAAACCTAAACCCTTAACCCACCGCTTGCTTCAGACTCAACCGCTCCTATCTTAGCTGCCAGCACTGCTCCAGGCGCAAGCTTGAGTTGGGTGCAGCCTCAGCTCATCCATATAGTATGAATGACAATAATGCTAATAAGAAAACAACAGTCATAATGTTCGTAGTAACAATAAGGTATAGGGCTTAGGGCTTAGGGATGGTAATAATACTAATAATAACAATAATACTAATAATACTAATAATAATAATAATAATAATATAATAATAATAATAGTAATAATAGTAATAACAGTAGTAAGAATGGCAGGAGACAATGAATGTTGACAACCTCAGCCCAGTGATTTTTCAGCTCTCCACGCATCTCTTGCCATCGGCCAGCAAAGGCTAGAGGAATCGAGCCATCATCTGCGCCATTGTCTAAACTCCTAGTATCCCCCTTAATAAGCCCTATACTAGTCCCCTATATAACCCCTATATAATCCCCCTTTAAGGAGTTTAGACTATAGCTCATCTGACTCCAGACATGAGCCAGGGACTCAAGTTGCAGTATATTCCTTAAAGGAACCCCCTAAACTGCTTTAGGGTTTAGGGTTAAACTCCCCTATACATCCCCATATTCTAGGTCCCTCACAAACTTCAGTCCGTAGCTCACATAAAGAATTCGGAACAACCACCACCCAGGCATGGATGGCGTCCGGTTTAGGAATCGTCCATCTGGCATCCGCAGATGTGTGACACCCTACGCACTCTCATGTCAAATGATGAGAAACAGTGCCGCATTTACCCGGCATGCTCCAATCATGGCGGGTTCTTGCAGCTAACAGGAGGACAAGCACACGATTTCACGATTTTCGCTACAGGTGCTCTCAACTGCGTAGACCTCCCAGCCTTCAAGCCCTCCATATCATGGGAACAGTAGCGGGTAACGCGCGCCCCTCATGCATGTTGTTCAAATAATTTCTGTTCTCAAGCAAAGAAAAAACTTAGGCTGGCAACCCTGCTGACTTCAGCAAGGGCCTCGGAATTATTGTGCAAGCCACCCTACTTCCGCGACACTTCTGGTTTCTTGCGAGCTCGCCGCTTGTAGGGTACCTTCTTGACAAAGGCCATGCCTGACCAAACTTCTGTCTGAGCAGGAGAATCTTCATGCGGTGGCATCACAAATGCGCGGATATGTTTTGCGTGTAAGGTGAAGGCGGTGAGCAGCAAAGCTGGCAGAAGCTGCCACTATTATGACGATTATTACTGTCATTATTGTGAGACTATTGTTACTATTAGTACTATTATTCCCATTAGTACTATCATTGCTATTTTACTATGATCACTATTATTACTGTTCTTACTACCGTTACTATTATTGGCATGGTTACTGTTACTGCAATTATTCCTACCATTACTGGTATTCTTGTTATTCATTATTACTACGTTTATTACTATCAACCCTAGTTCGGAGTACACCCCAGAAAAAAGTATATATTTTTTTGGGGTATATTGGTTCAGGGTCTAGGGCTTAGGGTTTAGGAACCCAGGAACCAAAAAAAGTATTCATGTGCAGCACTCCAATATTGGGTTAATGCTACTACTAGCTGCTGGCCTTGGTAGTGTCCGCGCATGCACCACACGCCGTGCGGCACCACCTCGAAGTACAGTCCCCCCCTTTCAGTAGATAGGATTAGATAGGGATTATATAGGATCATATAAGGATTCTATAGGGGTGATATACGGTTATACAGGGAAGATAGAATATGGGGATCTTATGATGATATTGGGTAGTTCCTTTTCTATGGAATTACCCAATATCGTAAAAAGATCCCCATATACTCTATTTTCTATCTACTTAAGGGGGACTATAATATAACCCCAATAAATACCCTATCATGATATAGTAGTTTCCATTTTCTTTTCCGTTATCCCCATATACCCCGTTTCTATCTATTGGTACCAGCAGGGTCTCTGAAAGTAAGCATGCAGTCGCCAACAAAAACGCGAAGCAGCAACGGCTAGCAGCTCCGTGCATCCCTCACGGGACCAGTAATGGTAGTACTAATAGCAACAACAGTAAAAATACCAATAATAGTAATAGTCATAAAGTAATAATAGCAATAATAGTGTTGTTGGAATATCACACAGCTTGCTTTGATCAACTAGTTGCCCTCCGCGCGCCTTGCCATCAAAGAGGAAGGCACGCCCACCTGCCTTAGCACTTGCTCAACGAGTCGCACATTAGAGACTAAGAACAGCATCTGTTTATTTAGCCCTGCATAACAATCGAGAAGAGATGCCAGTGAAGATATCACCACCCCCAATTCCCGGTCAAATTCACAGTCAGCCAGAATCTGTCAATGCCCACGCCCAGGATGCTGCGGATGGGCATAACAGAATCACAGAACTCCGACAAGCTGGTATGTCAATAAGGATAATCCGACTCCTGCCGCCGGAAGGCCAAGGGGAAAGCTTTGTTGCCCATGACAAAGAACGCCATCTGGTCAATGATCTCAGCAAATCATTCGACAACCACGCGGGAGAGCTGCTGTAACAGAAGCTTCTAGTAATGTTGGAGCTTCTCTGCTAAGGGCTCATGGATTAGTTGCCGAGTTGGTCTGAGCCCTAAACCCTAAACCCTAAACGCTAGATCCTAAACCCTAAACTCTAAACCCTAAACCCTAGACGCTAGACCCTAAACCCTAAACTCTAAACCCTAAACCCTAAACATCAAAAAACCTGTCACATGACCAGGCCATGTCTGCATGGCTACTTTTATCACCTAGAATGTCCGTGCTCTGGCCTGAACGTTTAGGGTTTAGGGTCTAAACCCATAATGTACCATAATATACCATAATATACCATAAAAAAAACAATAATATACCATAATGCACCATAATGGAACCCTAAACCCTTCTTTCATGGCTGTGTTTCTCAAATTGGACAAGTTGCCGGATCTTCCTCCTTCGGGATGCAAGCAAGCTAGCCATTCTGCCATGCACATGGAAGTCTGTGCTGGTATAGCTTTATGGCCAATTATCTGTAATGCCCCTAGACCTATATTTCCTGTGCGAAATACATTCTCAGGGTTATACTCTTAAGTATAGCTTTATGGCCAATTATCTGTAATGCCCTAAACCTATATTTTTTTTTCAAATAATTTCTCAGGGTTATACTATTAAATAATATTAAATAGAAATCGCGTGTTCACATCCATAATTTAGGGGCTTCCCAAAATTAGGTGCACCGTTTTGGGGGGCTCTCATAATAAGGACCATAATATTTTGGGGTCCATATTGCGGTTCCCCTATTCAAAGAGACAACCATTTTTGGGTCTCCTGAATGCCCAGCAGCAGCGATGCCGAGTGGTCTTGGTCAACATGCACGCAACATTCCTCGCAGGCCTTGGGTCTGGGTAACTTTAGGGATTTAGGGTTTGGGGTTTAGGGTTTAGGGGGGTTGTATAAGGATATGAAGGGTTTAGGGTTTAGGGTTTGGGGGGACCATTCTGAGGGTCCCTCTAATACTATAGTATGTTGGGGTCTATCTTGGTGCCCCCTTATCTTGGGAAACTACCATATGGGGGTTATGTAGGGATGTTATGTGAATACTAGTGATGTTATGTGGATGTAATAGGGATGTTATGAGGATTTACTGGGTAGTGCGAGGGCGCAAACTTACTCGTAAGTGAAGGGGTTGCGACCGAACCGGCAATGCTTTGCCTACTGAACGCATGCTGTAACCGGAGAAGCCAAAGACCGCAAACCCTAAAGGCGGGATTCCAAAAATCAGAAGTAAGACAGTGAAGATCATGATCCCTAAACCCTACAACTGAAACCCCAAACTCTGAACCCTTAACCCTAGCCCTGAACCCTAAACTCTAAACCCTAAACTCTAAACTCTAGGGCCTAAACTCTACGCCCTGAAACCTAAACTCAACCCTTAAAGCCTAAACCCTTAAACCCTAAACCCAAGGGCTTTGAAGAGCAAAGTCACTTGGCAGCCTTTAGACCTGCATGTCGGGCAGGTCTCCTTGCAAGACGGCACACCTGAGTCTGCAGACGGTTGAGAATTAGTAGCAGAGCAGCATTGATATTGAACCCAGCGAGCAGAAGCCCATCTGAATGCTTTCGCATGCTTCTTGAGCTATGCTTGCTTACTAAGAGCCGCACCCAACAGCTTCGCCACTGGTACGGGTGGTGCATGGTCTTCACTGCAGTTGGATAACACAGCCATGTAGCCTCAACTTGATGGGACGCACAAAACTCGAAAGACTTCAGTGGTACAATACCGAATGGTTTAGGGTTTAAGTTAGCGTCTGGGGTTTAGGGTTTAGGGCTTAGGGTTTAGGGTTTAGATTTTGGGGTTAAGGTACACCTTGCTAACCATAGCTAAGAGGAGCGGAACCAAAGCGTATTGACAGTGGCCAGAGTGGAGGGCGCATCTCGTTTTACAGGCTAAATGCGGGCATTCCGGAAATGACGACCGGAGTTGCCCACTTCGGAAGAATTTTGAAGAAACGCAACTTTAGTCCATCATTCATAATTGATGATTCCATGAGCCTGTGGCGAGCAGAGACATGCTCGACAGCCATGAAAAGGAAAATGAGTAGGAAGAACCAAGATGAAGCTTAAAATGTGCATAAGGCCTACGGCAAAGCGTAAGACCATTAGATGATGAAAGTTTATGAGAACGTGATGGAATGATTATGTGATGATGGCGATAATAAGAAGTTTGAGGATGATAGATGGTGGATAAAGCTTAGTCATGACAAGAAATCACGACACATGTTAGCCGACAAATTGTGGGCGCAGAAACACAAGGAATGCTTCGCCGATCTAAGCGTAGCAGCTGCAGTGGTAAAGAGTCGGGCAGGTTGGGAAGGGGTCTGGGCTTTAGGGTTTCGGGTTCAGGGTTTAGGTAGTGGTGGCGGCAGTAGCAGGGGGCTTGCATGATTCTCTGAAACAACACTTTGTGCTGGCCTAGCAAGCAAAGACTAGCTCTGCTGGCTTCCACAATCTGTAGTCAAGTCTCCATCTTGCACTCATCCTACTCCCCATGATGATGATCATCATCATCAACATCGTGATCATCCTGGTCAGCATCTCCATCATTAGACTCATGGTCGTTACTATCTATATTCTCATCGTTGCAGATCATATGGGCTCTGGACTAAATTTGTAATGTATCCCTTAATATGTCTCCCCCAAAACCCTATATAGTCCCCTATAGGCTGCCCCACCTAAGTTTAGTCCGTAGCTCATATGACAGCCATTCAAATGGCAGCATTCTACGTGCTCGCTTCTCTGAGATGGAATGGGCGTTTCCCAAAATTAGGGGTACCATTATGAGGGTCCCTATAATAAGGATCATAGTATTTTAGTGTCTTTCTGGGGATTCCCTTATTTTAGGACACTGCGATGTGGGTGGCGGAAAGAGCCCCTGACACCCCAATAAACTCCAAAATTAATCGTCCCCCTTAAGTAGATAGAATATGGCTCTGGGTGTATTATACTAAGATCCCCATATTCCCCATGTCCTATCTACTTAAGGGAGACTAAAACCCTTTTGACTATTCCTTGGACCCCCATCAGGAACCCCTACTTTCCAAATCATAATGGACACTGGTGTATGAAAGCAGCTCTCTGGGGTTTCATGTCCGCTTGCCTACATCCTGAAGCTCCTACAAAAGCAACCCTGTGTAGTCCCACGCGGTTTAGGGTGCAGGGTTAGGGTACTATAACATGTTTACCCTAAACCCTAAACTTCAAAGCCAAAATATCCCTAGAGTTTGGTGTTCAAGCGAAGGAGCCTTGTCCAATGTAGCTCTGAACGGATCCGCCATCAGCTGGATCTATGGACGCAACCCCTGGCAGACGCCGGGCAGCAGAGGCTATATAAAGCTAAGGATTATCTAGTTATCTATGCATATATATAAGGGCTAAGGGCTACATCGGGAGGATTGGGTATTAGCCCAACAGTGGACAGTACAACCCTAAACCCTAAACCCTTAATGGAAGGAAAATGGAAAATGGAATAGAAATTGGCAGATAACATGGATCTATATCGCTCAACAAGACGATGACGCGACATGGGACCAAGGCACCATGCACCTCATGCTTCAGGGTTTAGGGTTTAGGGAACGACCAGCCTGAGACGTCTCGTTTTTGAGAAGTTTGATGTTCCATGTTTTTTCCATTTGGGTCTCTCGAACTTATGGGGTAATATACCCCTCAACCCTATATAATCCTATATCTCCGTATACATCTCATATATCCCTCAGCAAAAACTCAGAGTCCGCACCTGGCTCTCGACTGGGCAGTGCCGGGGGTTTGTACCAACGGAAGGACTGCCACCTCCGTTTCAGTTGTAGTCTAAACTCCTTAAAGGTGGATCAACTTGGGTTTCGAATTCAGGGATTAGGGTTTAGGGTCTGAACTCCTTACAGGGTGATTGTGTGGGGGATTCTGTCGGTACCGCAATATGGGTACATAGCAAAGGTTTAAGGTTTAGGGTTAAGGTTCCCTTACTATAGTAACTTAGTTTGAGCTCCTTAACAACAACCCAGCGATGGCTGCGGACTTGCTGCGTGTCTTGCTATGTCCGGACGAGCCGCACATCCTCGTTGGTGGCATTGTTGAGCACTTCAACCATCTCGGTGTCTAACATTTCACCCAACACCTGCTTGCCCATTAAGGGAGGACATGCCCAAACAATGAAACATTCCATTAATTCAAAACTACCTCTTTTGGCGGCCGCTTACATGGCAGGGGTTCCGTTGACCCAGCGCAGCATTTTTTGTGGTCAGCGGTTTATTTACCCCAAACCCTGAAACCTAAACCCTCAACCCCAAACCCCAAAGCCTAAACCCTGAACCCTAAACCCTCAATCCTAAAACCGAAGCCCTAAACCCGAAGTCTCTTCAAACGTAACTGCGGCGTCGCCTCGTTGCACCTTCCTCGCAGCTGCGCCGTGCCAGGAAAAGTGCGATTCCTGCTGAGCTGAATTCCAACCTGAGACTGCGGCAGTGAACTATATAAGGGTGAAGGTTTAAAGGTTTAGGATTTAGGGTTGAGGGTTTTGGGTTTAAGTTTTATTGTTACAGGTTTAGGATTTAGGGTTTAGGGTTTGGGGATTAAAGGGTTGAGGGTTTAAAGGGTTTAAGGTTTGGGGTATAGGGGATTATATACAGGATTCTATAAGGGATTGTATAAGGGATTCTGTAGGGCATTATATACAGGAGTATATAAGGGATCATGTAGAGGAGTATATACATGATTATGTAGGGAATTATGTAAGGGATTATATGAGGATTTTATAACTATAAGGTATTGTATAGTGGATTTTATATAGGAGATTCTGTAGAGGATTATAGAAGGAATTGCGTAGCAGATTATATAGGGGATTAGAGTAGAGAGTAAGCTCAAACCCATCTCAAATCCAGGCGTGGTTTTTTGCTACAGATTGAACGGGCTTCCTTCCTTCACTTGCAAAGGAACCTCGGACCTCGGCCTTTGGTGCAATCACAGAGGAAAGAACTATCTACATACGTACATACACACAACTACATACAGACATACATACAATTACAGACGGACAGACAAACATACATACATACAGAAGCACAACCAAGAACGTCAGAATATTTTAGGAGGACCCCCCACACTGTAATAGTAGCATAACAGGAATATAAGAGGACCCCAATATCCGCCGACCCCAGCGGGGGCGAAGCCCGTGAAGTTGCGCTGCCGGAATCCTGGTTTTGCCCAAAAAACGATACATTTGCCCTGAAGGCACGGCTTAGAGCTCTTCTGTCCCCACCCGCTGACCTCTACCCGGTATTTAATGGATGGGTAGGTACTTAGTGCGAGCCACTGGGGCTTGTCATGAGCTCCTAGGTGGGATGGTAGGGATGGATGGGTAGTTAATGGTAGGGATGGATAGGTATTCAATAGGTATTGAACGTGAGCCCAATGCGCGCCCAACCCCTCGCCCCCCGCCAGGCCTGAGCGCCCACGGCTTCCCGCGCTCGTATGAGGTCCCAGACACACCGCCCTGTGTGGCTTTGGGTAAAGGTGGGCTGGTCCGCCTTGTGTAGATTTGGGGTGTGGTGGGATGGTAATAAAGCGAGTCGGACCCCAGTAATCATGCACGACTTTGGTTTGCCCAGCATGGAAAGCGGTAAAGTTGGTTGTGGGCACAAAGAATTGTTCAGCATTTATGCTGGGCGGCCCATAGAACAAGCCGTTCTGAGTGTTTTGTGGGTAGCAATGCTGCACCTTGCAGTCACTCGGCGCTGCTTTGCCTTTGCCACGTGCCCGCGGCACGTCCAAGGCGCTCCACTCCTCCTCCGAGACCCAGGCAAGATCTCCTCGCATTGCTTTCATACGCCTTGCGAAGTCGCTGTTGGTGCACTTTTGGACAAAAAACAGAGTTTTTTCCTTTCCAGGACCGGGGGTCACAAACTGAGAGGCAAGCTTCTCTAGTAGACATGTTGTCCCGCCACGCAACACAGTTAGTGCATCCACACGCTGCCTGTAAAAGGGTGACTTCCCGCAGTTACTTTCTGCAATCAAGAGACTGAACATGCGAGCACGCACTTCCTGCTCGCGCTTGCGAGGATTGAACTTGGCATGCACATCTTCATGACACACCCAAGGGGCAAAGGTGAGGGCATACGCAGACGGGAACTCCTGCGCGAGGCCACAGCGCTCGGCAAAGCAGCACAGCATTGCTAAGAAGAAGGGCACAAGATTTGTGACATCCAACGACGAGTTCCACATGTCAACAATGGTGCCAGAGAACCGGTTGCTGGCCGCTGCACGTCTGCGCCACAGTTCCAAGTCGTGCTGCAGTATATCCTCTTGTGTCAAGCGGAAGTGGCGCGGCTGCACAGGTGAGCTTGCGGGCAGACCATGAAACATGGACGCCAACGCTTCCACATTGTTGGGGTCGGCCATAAGCTGCTGATCGTGCAGCCGCTGAACAGCACGTCAGCAGTTCGCAGAGACGGCAGGCTTCCTGGATGGCAGCATCGAACTCGGGCTGTGGCTGCATACGCCACCTCGTATGGCATAGACATGTGGCTGAGGACTTGAACCTGCCAGAGGCGAATCGCGAAGAGGCTTACACGGAAACTGCCGTAAGCACGACCGGCCTCTGGCGCCGCTGTGTCATCGCAAGGATGGAGGCCAGCGCCTGACATGCACGTACATTCGCCACCTTCCTGACAGGCCGACCCCAGTGGAGCCTGCACAGAGACACTGGTGGTACCTGCACGCATAGATGATAGGCATGATTATAGGGATCTGGTTCTTAGTAGGGAATAAAGGAACATATCATGTCGGGATTATATGTTTCCTTATTCCCGACTAAGAACCAGTAGGCGTAAGTTTTGGGCTGGGAAGGGTTGCACTCCCAAGTGGCGGGGCGGGGCTAGGAAATGTATGCCAAGTATATCTGCATGTGCTGCTGTTGCAACTGAATTGCATGTGCAAAATTCGGCCTTACTTGCAGCAAAGACGTGGAACACACGAAGGCAGCCCCGACATTCCCCTGAACATCTACGTGACCCCAGCCCCTTTCTACCCTACCCCGCAGTGCTCTGCCGTGCCATTCTGCTCTATCCAGAACCGTAGACACCTGAAATCTCTCATCAAATCATGCTAAGACCTCCAAAACATGAAAGCCCCAAGCACCCCAAATATCTTAAGCCCAAAGCCACACTCAGAATCCCAAAGCCGGCGGCACTGTAAACACGCTACCCAGAAAAATCTTGAACAAAAAACGGAATGCGGAAACATGAAAAACCTGAAAACCCTACATCAACCTATATCATATCAAGCACAGAAGCTTGAACCCTGACAACCCAAGCCCTCAAGATAAAACCAGCTGAAGCCCCGGGGATTAGGGTTTAGGGTAATTCCCCCTTACAGAAACTGTTACCACAGTAGGTAATAGGAGTTACAGTAGCCCTCAAAAACCCCTTCCAGGACAATATACACCCCCCAGGGTTTAAGGAGCTAATAAGGACTATATGGAGCTTAATAAGGCCTAATAGGGTTCCAAATTTGGGGGTGCACATGTGGGTAAACCTTAAACCCTAAACCCTAAACCAAACCCAAACCCCCAAAGCCAGGCAACTCCATGCAGCCGGCCTTTCTGCAGCGGCCGAGACGACTTCTCGGCCCAGGTATCCCAGTAGGTGTTGCCTGCAACCCTAAAAGCCCCTAAATAAACCTTGAAACCCCTGTACCCTAAACCCCATAAACCCTAAACCCCATAAACCCCAAGCCCTAAACCCAAACCCTGAGTATCACGGTTCATAGTCCATGGACATGACGGCTCTTCTTCCCAGATCTGATAGTTTTTGTAAACAAGCGGCCCCAAAATTGACCCAAATATATGATAATCCTTACTATAGGGACTCCGACAAAACGGCCCCTAATTCTTGGAAACCCGTACACCCTGCATAATCCCAGTGTCCATTTCATGTTCCATGTTCTTTTCCAGTTGATTCTCCATTATGAAGGGTTACAACCCCTTAAACCATAAGCCCTTATCCCTACACCCTAAACCCCACTCCCTAAACCCTTGTCCCTAATCCTCAAACCCTCATCCCTTAACCCTGGTGCAGGTTGGTAACCCTAGCGGGGGCTAATATTCCCGCTAAACCCTATATGACCCCTATATAACCCCTATATATTCCCTATATAATCCCTATATAATCCCTATATAATCCCGATATATTCTATAACCCTAAACCCTAAACCCTATAACATATTAGCCTAAGCACTAACACTCCCAAGTCATCTCTGTCAGCTTCGATAGCCCTGCCTTGCTTTATGAGCGCTTGAACTTTCCTCGCATCTCTTGCAAGTCACTTGGGGTCTAGGGTTTAGGGTTTGGGATTTGGGGTTTGGGATGTGGGGTTTAGGCTTTAGGGTTTGGGGTTTGGGATTTAGGGTTTGGAATTTAGGGTTTAGGGTTTGGTTTAGTGCATGAAAGCTGGCCCAATGCTTCGGTTCTAAGTCAGGAAACACTCACAAGGTTTGCATGAAACTGGCCATGACATTGCCAAAAACAGAACACCTACTGGGATAGGATCTGACGACTGACAGCTTGCACTGAATCCTGGGAAGGAAGTCCAACACACATGTGAGACAGCTATTAGTACTACTACTCTTACTACTACTACTACTACTACTACTAGTACTACTGTCATTCTGTTGTCAGTACTATGATTCTTGTTATGACAAGTAGTATTCTTATTACTACGACTGTTACTACTATTAAGGCAACTGATTTGCAAAGTCAAGCTCTGCTCGAAACCCTAAACCCCAAATAGTCAATACAACCCCTACATGATCCCCTATATAACCCCAACATAAGCCCACTGCAAACCAAGAATCTCATGCACGCTTTCTGGCACAGGTCCAACCACGCAGTGCAAGCGCTTTCCATTGGCTTCAAAAAGCGGCGGCACACCTTCCCAGTAGTAATAATACTAATGCAAATAGTAATCATCAAAGTAGCAATGAGGAAGTAGTAGTAGTAGTAGTAGTCATAGTAGTATTAACAATGTCATAATACTAGTAATGCGCAAGGATGACTCATGACCGCGTTTCGAAAGCAGCGCGGATAATCCATCATAACAAGGAACAACAAGCAGGAACCTGAAAACGGAACCAAGGGACCAGGACAAACAAATGCACCAAAGCGCGACAAAAGGAAGAATGACCAAGCTGAAGGGGTGGCAAGTTTTCGCGGCTGCTTCGCTTCGATAGCTGTCCGCCCCACTTACTGATTATAATCCACCTTGAGCAAGTCAAGCTATACGATTGACGGCACTTACGTCTCACATAGAGCAAACTAATCCATATAGTAGCCCCTTTCCAACCCTATATAATCTCTGAGCCTAGAGTCCCACTTAAGTAGATAGAATATGGGGGTATATGGGGATCTTATTCTAATATATCGAAAGCCATATTCTATCTACTTAAGGGGGATTGCAAGCCCCTAAGATACTCCCTACATTACATTGGAGGGAGGTTAGTAATTGGGGGTCTGCATTAGACAGGATACCCCGCCCAACGTTCCAGCACTGAACGCAGCTCTGGCGATGCCTCGGCTGTGATGCAGAGTCAGTGAAGCCCACTGTCGCAATGTGAGCATTAGGGATTAGGGTTTAGGGTTTAGGGTTTTGGGTTGAGGGTTTAGGGATATGATCCCCCAATAATGGAGAATCAAATGCAAAAGGTCTAACCTCCTAGTATCCCCCTTAAGAACCCCTATCCGCCAACCTTGGGGGGCG